TGTACATGTATGAATATATAGAACTTACTATATATAACTAAGGAATAAATTAATTTGGTAAGGAGGGTAGAAAACTTTTAGTAGTGGGGAATATTGTGACTGAATTTTAATCCAAGGCAGCCAAGAAATTCAAAGTTATGTTCCCTGCAGCAACTGTAATTTGTCTATGCTGGTCATAAATACGGAAGTGTAAGTCTAGAAGCGTACACACTAATACAGGAAACGTCATTGTGTGCATGGGGGTTAAGTTAATGCTGTAAATTTGCAAATTTTAATTTCATGCCTGTTACGTGTTTAAATTTCCTATGACAACACTGAATTAATGTAGTTTCACCATGGAATATATTAAGAAAGGCTCAGTTATTACAGGACTGTAGTTTTTATTTTGATGAGAATATGATGCTGCATTAAAACTGTATAGTTTATGTAAATATTTCTCCCAAACGGGAGCAATGCAGGACTGTTAAAGCTTAGCAGCCACGATGCTGCTAAGTCTCATATTTTTCTGACTTAGACTGGTGATGGCAGTAAAGCATGGCTGACTTTTTAATAGCTTTGCTGCTGTGGAATTGCTCACCCAGTTTCTGGAACGTGTTGTTGTTAACCTTGCATTTGTGTCACTGCTGTCAAAATACAAGTACAGCTTTTTCCTCTCTGTATTTGTCACTTGTTTGTTTTGTCCCATCTGCAGCTGGCAGCAGGGAAGGAATGGAGTGAGCAGCCACAGCACAAAACTTCTCCAATCACCTTGCCATGTTGCACCCATGGTTACTGCATCTAGGGAAAAGTGGCTTTTTTCCATATCACAAATATTTGTGGAAAGTGCTGGTGTCCATCCTGTTTTTTGGGACTCTGGGCTAAAGGCACTTCACGGCCTTGTGTGGGTTTTTCACTGGCACTGGCTCTGCATTATTGCCAGCTGTTTTTATGGCGTCTTGGGAGGTTCTGCCCTCAGAGGAGATTTCTCTCCTTTACAGCTGTGAGGTGTCTGGATCCAGCCTAGCTGATGGTCCTTTGCTATGTGTGGATTAGCAGATGCCACTCTTATGGTGACCACTTGATTCCTGCTGCCAAAGCATCCAGAGTAGTGCCCTGGTGTGGCAGCATACACAGAGCCCAAGTATTTGCTATTTTATGCTGACAGATGAGTTCTGGTGGATCCTGTTGCTGCTTAAGACAGCTGTCTCCCATTGACTCACGCTGCTGCAATTCTTCATCCAGCACATATTAACATAAACCAATGAGGGGGCAATTTTCAGCTGGCTACAGCAGGCTCTGAACTGCAGTGGTGAAGGAACAGGCCCATGTTTATTTTATCGCTGCTGCAGGGGCAGTAATCTCAGAGAGAAAGGCAGAGCAGAGAGGTGGAGTTGAGGAACACCCTAAGCTATCACTAACTATATGAAACATTAACAGCCCTGTATTTTTAGTGGTGCACTCTTCAGGTACATCTAGGCATAGGCAAGGCAGGCTGGCAGAGTAGGTTATACGACTGGTGTCCAACTACTAATTTCTATACTAAAATTAGCATCCTGAGAGGAAAAAGCCTGCAGTTTTAGGAAGTGCTTGGCTTATTTATTAGCCAGAGAAAGAACTTTGACTAATGACTAGTAAACATATATCAAGGGTTGATCACCATAAACTTCAATTTTAGTATTTAAAGAAATTATAGTAATTTAGCACTCCTAAATGCTTTCAGCTTGGTTGACTGAAAAATGTGATGTCATTATTTGCAATATTTTCTACAAGATGGGTTCAGTGGAGTCCTATAGATAGTGTAACTTCTGGGAAAGCATTAGTTTTCTGAGGCTGTTGAAAAATGTCAATGATAGTACACTGAAATGTTTGGAACAGAGAGTAGACTGAACATTTAAAGTAGCACTGTGCTGGCAAAGTTCTGATGGAACCAAAAGGAGGGCTCCAGGGATGTCTGTGCATCTTACTGACACACTTGGCCAGTGCCCTGCAGCAGCACTCTGCAGGTAGGATCAGTTCTACCGTTTCCTAAACCTCTTTTCAGTTCCTCAAAATCCTAAGGGGGTGGTCAGGGAGTGGAAGCAGGAACAGCAGGGCTTCCAGGCTTGGGTGTTGTGCTAGGGTTCAGCCAATGCACAGCCTGCAGAACCAGATGTGTCCTGGTAGCTTCTCCAAGCATTGTGCTGGAGGACTTCTAAACCATGAAGAGAATGTAGCTGGAAATGGTGGCTGGAGGCAACAGCAGAGTAGAAGATTTAGTGGGAAAAACACATTTCTCTCAAGGGGAGCCTTTGAAATGTCTGTAAATTCATAAGGAAATGGTCTCCAGGGTTGGCATTTGTCTTGAACTTGCAAAAGGATCAGTCAATGGACTTTAGACCAGTCTGCTGTTAAAGAGCAGGAGAGTTTAGAAAGGATCAAAGAATGGCAATTGCTGGAGTGCTTGAATACAAATTGAGGAACTTCATTTTGGCTTGCCAATTGGAGACTCTTTAGTAGCCTATTCGCATTTGAAGTGTAGCTAATAAACTATTATGTGACTCATGTAGCTCTACAACAAACAGATCGATGCATTTGAGAACTAGGAATTTTATCCTTATACTAACTTTAGTGTTGATATAAGACTTACTGCAATGATATTGACTGCAGCCAGGTGGTGAAGGGACAATATAATATGGGATTATTGCCTTGCCTTTTACCATAAGAGATTTTTCTGTATTACAAGGCTCTGAGAAAAGGTTAGTAGCTAATAATAAAAAGTTATGCATATGTTATGTTTTAAGCATTTGTCCTTCTAGTCTCTGTAACACACACAAACATACATACACAAAATTACAACAATTCTATATCCATGCTGGTGACACTGGAGAGAAAAAGCTACACACACAAGAAATTTATTCCCTGCTTCCCATGGGCAGGCCATCTCCAGGAGAGCAGGGCCCCATCACATGTAATGGCTACCTGGGAAAACAAACACCATCACTCCACATATCCGCCCTTCCCTCTTCTTCCCACTTTATATACTGAGAAGGATGTCATATGGTCTGGAATATCTCTTTGGTCACTTGGGGTCCCAGTTGTGTCTCCTCCCAGATTCCCCAGTTTTCTTGCCAGTGTGGCAGTACGGAAAGCAGAAGAGGCTTTGGCTCCGTGCAAATACTGCCCAGCAATAACAAAAGCATCTCTATGTTACCAACCCCGTGTTCAGCACAAATCCAAAACACAGCCCCATGCTAGCCCCTGTGAAGACAATTAATTCTTGCCAAAACCAGCACAGGACATTTCTGAGTTACCTGAACATGTAATGATTTTTCTTTATTGTCCTTGTACCTGTGCGAATGAAAGTAGGTGCCTCATCATGCTAAGGCCCGTTAGCCACATCTTCTGGTTGAATAATTAAATGTCTTGAACTGTGAGTTCAGTGGATTTTGAAAGCTTTGAAAGGTGTTCAGTATGTTCCTGAACTATAGCAGTGGTAAATAACGTGGTAGATAGGAATGAGGTGAGAATCTAGGGATCTACTGCAGGATTATGACTTTTTTTACACTAACACTTGTATCAGGTTGTTGTTCAAGGAGCATCTCCAGCATTTGCAGCTGTGACTTTTTTATAGCAGAGACATTTGCATTTCATTCATTAGTGTGTTATCAAAAGCTCTTCTGCAATGGATTTTTTGTGCAAGTTTCCTTTTTTTAATTTGATGTACAGGATATGAATTCATTTGACAAGTTTATTCTTTTAACAAGTTCAATAATCATTTGTGATTCACAATTTTATTTGCTGGGGAGGGTTTTTAATTTAAAACTTGTACTGTATTCTTTATCAGATACTTATTGATGAGATGTTTACACTCTACAGAACAGTATTTGAGTAAATCAGAATACTGTAAACTTGCCTTATTAACGGTTTTATTGCTTTAGAAGGTACTCAGTTAAGTTTCCACTGCTTCATCATAAAACATTCCCAGCCATGGAATACATTTTTGAGTGAGATATTATATTGTATAGACCAATGCGTACACATGGGATCTCTTGTACATATAAACAAAATAATAAAATAGAGGTTTTCTCCTACAGACTCCAACAATCTTGTGCAAAAGTACTTTTTTCAACTGCAGGGAATTAATGCAAGGCAGAATTAAGATACTGTATAACCTAGAGGTCATGAAAGGAGAACATTACCATTTTCTGTTCTTCAAAGGGAGAAACATCTCACCAAAGGTGAGATCTGAAATCCACAGAGTCCTGGGAAGTTTAATCAAAACTGCAAAGTTAATTGTCTAGTTTCATTTCTCATTCTCTTCCTGTTTTTACAAATAACAAGTTACACTGTCTGCCCACTTTATGTGTGCTGCAAAGTTACCCTTTTGTGTTTAAAAACCTGTTGTGGTACTTGTGGAATGAATAATTATGTTAGCAACCATACATTTTTTGATGTTGTAGATGTTTGGGTGTCTATAAAAACCACCAGAAAGTGAAGTGATCCCTCTTTTTAAGCCAAAGTGTGTTTTTTATTACAACATTTTAATAAGAAGGTGCCTATTTATAAGACTTTGTTAAAAATTCAACAGTAAAAATAATGTGTTGTGTAATATAAGAATCCTATCAAATACGTATAAATTTTATACCTGAATGTGATAAGAAGTTTTGAATCTGCAAAAAGTCTGAAAAAGGCTTTTAAAAAGTGCAATTCTACCCAGTGAAAAACCACATTACATTATCTCTTCCTTCTAAACAGCTCTGTTGCAAAAGTGTGTTCAGGGTCATAAACACTGATTTTAGCAAACAAAACAAGTTTTTTCTTCTGAATGAATAAATCCAAGTTGTTATGAGGGGATCTTTAAAAGATATTTCCTAGTATAAAATTTTCTGTCTCAGTTGTTTATGAGATCAGTTTGCACTTCAAAGAGCATTTCAAAAAGCGTCTAAACTGTGTACTTTGTTTGTTATGTAAGTTCAAAACAGTTGTAGATATAGTTATCAAATCCAACCATGTATAAAGGTATGTTTTTTAATTTCTTTTAGCCACTCAGCAGATATCCACCTTTGATCAATGACATCTCCTTTTGGCTGCCTTCTGAGACATACTCTCAGAATGATTTCTATGACTTGGTTCGAACCATTGGTGGAGACTTGATAGAAAAGGTTGTCCTTCTGGATGAATTTGCCCATCCAAAGTAAGTAAAAATTTTAATACCTTTTCCCTGCAGCCATAATATAAATATTTTGTGAATATTTTAGTTCTGTATACCAAGTTCTTGATTCTTATGAAATGAAATATTTGCACATTTCGTTTTTTATCTCCAAAACCCTCCTGCAGCAAAAAAATATTACTTTTTACTTAAAATAAATATTACCTATTTTTCAGTTTTCCACTAGTACTGAGCTTGTGGTTTTCAGATTACCCCAATGCTTTGTGCTCAGGTTTTGACATCAACAGTGAGCCACTGCCTTCCTCAATACATCTGGCAGTGCATGACACTCCTGCCCATAGCATGTCTGACATTCTAGTCCTGCTCTTTGCTAAGTGACTGGTGTTTGTCTCCTTGTTCTCTTCCTTTCTTCTTCTAGTCCTGGCACACTAGTAGCCCTTTACTATAACATCAGTGCTAATAATGGTTTGTTGCAGAATGCTATTGTTGGTGTTCAACTGGGAGAAAAAAAAATACCTTGTTCGCTTCTTTCTGACACTTGTTTATATGCTGTTGAACAATCTCTCAGGTTTCAGAACACCATATGGGTATAGCAGCACTGACATGACCAGGGAGTGCACACAGTATTTGTCTAACTGGTAATAACAGTTGCCTCAAAACCAGACAAGTATCAGCTATTACATATGTACTGGTTTTCAATTTGCTGTTTCCAAATCAAGAAGTAGAAAACCTGCTGGCTATCTAGCTTTCTAAAAGTGTGGGTTAAAATAATTTGTCTTGAGTCTTTAAGTGCTGCAGGAAGGCAGATAATAAATCTTTTTTGAAGATGACAGGAAAATGCTTCGTGTTGTTCTCCAACACCTACAGATTTTTTATTTTCTTCTTTCTACATCCAAGTATTTAACCCTGTTGTTCTTTTGAATCTGATATGTGATGCAGGCCAGATGAATAGATTGTTCTATGGCCTAGTTTTCATGGCGTTTCAGTGGATTTTTTTTGAGTTTTTTTTCCTTTTTACCCTTTTTGTGTAGTGTTATATGAGACTGTTTGTGCTGTGTAAAGAAACAGAAATGGAAGTGAAATTTGTGTGGGCATCTTAAAGCTTTGAGTCATTAATTTTTGAGTCTTTCTCACACGCAAATCATGCAAAAGGATCTTAACCCTTTATGCAAGATGGTATGTGCAGAAGAGGAATACAGGTTAGGGTAAGATAATCAGTACTTTTCATTGTAAAGAAGAGACTCTATCTTTCAAGGAAATGGGGAAGTAAGTTTATGGCAGGTATGGATAACTTCTTATTGTCACTCAGAGTGCACTGTAGTATCAGCACAAGTACATAGACATTGAAGGCTCTGCACACAGATCCTGCTGTCTTCTGTCATTATGTTTCTGATAAAGAACAATCAACGGAGTTGTTGCACCCCTTTCTGGAGCTGGTCCTTCTGTTCATTCATGCTGAAAGTTTATTGTATGTGTAACACCTCTGTGGTCATTGCCACTTTTTGTCTACGTTCTCCTCAGTGATACCAAACTAGCAGTTATATTTGTTGTTACATCATCTCTTAGGGGAAAATTCTGTGTGTATTGAAAGCAGCTCTTCCAAGTCTGAAAGTTTGGAGAAATCTTCTTCCTTGCTTCCTCAAACAGTGGCAGTATTATTCTGTGATTACTCTCAGCACCTTACTGGGGAAATCCACACATGCTATGACAGCCTGCCAGCAGCACTGCATCAGTCATGGCTCAACTCACAGGTTATGCTTCTCTTCTTTGCTGAAAATATTGTCTTCCATACTAGTAGAGTGGTGGGGTACGGACAGGATTCACTACTCTGGGTTTCTCCTATGTGTGTTTTCTCCTTTGATAGGTTTTGACACATCCAGAACATATTCCGGAGATAGCAGTTGTTCCCCCTCAAGGAATACAATTCTGGTTCCCTCTGTGGCTTCTGAAAATAGATGGGAAGGTTGATTGCTCACAGATAATTGTCACACAAATTTAGGACTTTTACTAGTTTTATTCTCTAAAACCGTTTAAACCTCACTCAGCAGACATCCAAATATGTTTTGACACTAAAGGGAGGAAAAATTTCTCACCTTTATAACTGAAGAATTTGAGAGGTGACACTGATGGATTGTTGGTAAGTGATGTTGTTGTCCTCTTGGTTTTTTCGCCTACAACAACAGTTAAAGAAATCTTTTCAAATGGTCTATGAAAAATCAGCAATTCCAAGGAGATTATCTACTGCATTGAAAAGGAATTATAAATGAAGACTAAAGCATAATGGTTACTTTGCCCTTTCTTCTTTGAACAGGATGTGTGCAGATATGTAACTTTTAGAGAACTGATGATGTAAGCCACATAAGTAATTTTGTTTGATTTTTAAAGGCCTTGGAAGTCTGACGTTTTGAAAGAGTTTTCTACTTAGTCTTAATTCATAGATAATCACTTTGTTATGGGAATGATACAGTGGCTTCTTTAATTCAGTGTTGCAGAAAAGCCTCTGGGCACAGAAATTAACATAAGAGATCCTCAGCGTTGCTATGGATCTGTATGTTACAGATCTAGGTACTTGTAGTCATTATCTTGAATTTTTAGTGAATCTGCTCTGGAGGATGGGAGAAAAGTGTCTAGGACTGGAAAAAAAATGCAGTGCTGCTGTTTTGAATGTTAGTTACTTACAAGCAGCTTAAGTTAATGCTTGTAGTTAATCACTTATAGAATTTAAAATTCAGATTTTTTTAATCCTTTAAAAACATCCGTTTCATGAGGAATTAGGACATTTGGTAGTCTCATTTTCCTTCTTAAACTACTTTTCTTAGTTATAGGACTATAAAGATCTGAAACCAGAAAATGTTATACAAAGAAAACTAATTTATAGCACAAAAAATAGGTCTTTAAATTAAGATCCTTTATAGAGACTGTCTGTGTAATACTGCATAGTTGCCTTTCTGTGGTTCAGAAACCTTTCAAGATTTCACTGGGCTTTGGACTGACACCCATTCTCCAGTACAGTGCAGTTACGGTGTGTATTAGCAGTGAAAAGGTATTTCTCAATAGGGAAAAGGAAAGTGGGGGCAGGAAAAAGCATGGGACAAGTAATTATTTAAGCAAGGAAGAGGTGCCTGAAACCAAGGAAATCTCGTTTATCTGCTTTGTAAGGTAATAATATTGAGACAACTTTTTGGGAAGCACAGGAAATTTAAAGATACAGCAAAAAGGAGTCTTATTGCTGAAAAGCACAAAGTTAGGAGAATGCCAAGTTTCTGTGCTGGGGTAATTAAGAACTGTTCCAGCCTAAATGTGTCTTAGGTAAACTTAACTGAGCAAAATCAAAACACAACATTGAGGTAAACTGAGTGATGTGTCACACAGTCAGGGTTTAACTTCATCCAAGATGAATAATGCAAAACACGGCTGTAACACACCTGTTACTCAGGTATATAAAGAATCAGCCAGCATATGTAAGGAAAAAGTTGTGACTTTTCTAAGTGCCAAGGAAACTGAGTGAAACTGTGGTGGTTTTGGCAAGAATAGGAGCAGGCCATCTGTAAGACATGCAAGAAGAAGTGTATCTTTGCAGTGAGCAAAACGTTTTCCATGGTCCATCCTGTGTATTGCAGCTATTTTTGCTTGATTCATTAGTTTCAAACAGTTAGACTTTCTTGCATTTGGATGGTAAAATATATTTCTCCATGTATGATGTGTGAAGTGAGTTCACTGTGACTTGCCTGGAGTTGTCAGCTGCTGCATGAGCCTTGTAAGCAGACACCGGAAGGCAGTGGCACTGTTTTTGCTACCTGACTGAATTATTTCTTTCAAATCCTTGGAGATCTTTAAGGACCTTTAAGCATTGCTGTGCAAATACATAGTGAGTGTGGATTTGTAGCTGACATTTTCCCCCTTGGAACATTTTAGTGAACAAACATTTGCAAAAAAAAAAAAAAAGAGAATGTTTTGCACTATATTGATACTAAAGGAAGAAAAGAAAGGGGTGTTTCCCTTACTTTTTGCAGTGGCTCATATCTTTAAGTTTAGGCCTTCTACTACTCAGCTTATCTAAGCTGTCTAATCAATATGAATGACTTTCAGAAATTAAATCAGAAAGTAATCTTTTTTCAGTGGTCAAGACTTCTCCACTTTTGGATAGGAAATAGATTTCACAGGAAAAAAGAAAGGGCAGCTGAATGGCAGTCAAAAGGTAGAAGGGTTTCTGCCCACTGTGAATAAGCAAATCAAAACTGCTGCCATGCAGAGAATCCCAGGAAGAGGGATTTTCATTCATACAGTCCTACATTTTGGTGACATTCAGATAAGTACTGTGGTTGCACACATATAGAATTTCAGGGATGGTAATTAAAGCATATCTGGACAAAGTAATAGAGGAAGTACTGGTTAATCACACATAGTAGAATATGTGATAGAAGTGGCACAAGACATTTGTGACTCACGTTGTCCCTGATGAAGAGGACATAGGGCAGAGAGAGATAAGAGTCTAGGGGTGAGTACCTGTCCCCTACAATGCAGTACCAAAGACAGAATACAGAAATGCTGAGGTTGTTTATCTTTGCTTTGGGCAAGACCTGCAAGTGTGTTTTTCAGATTAACATGCCATGTTTCTCTTGTGTAAGGTATCTTGTGTAATCCCATCACATGTGACGGCCTCACATCTTTATTCTGAAAATGTATTTTCTGCATTTTGCTGTGAGGTTATTTTTCTTATCGGTCTTTCTTACTAATAATTCTGTTTTGTTAGAAAGATAAAGGAAGTGAGGAAAGATATGGCTCCAGATCTTGCTTTGCAAGGAAGATACATAGGTAGGCTGAAAAAGTTATCCAAAATTGTAATCAAGACATGCACTGTGTCCTCAGTGGTACTTAGGAGGTAAATTTTTAATCAGAGCAACTAAAAATATTCTGAAGAGGCAGAGTGGAGACAGTAAGGGGGGAAAATTGATTTGCTGCATTTTGATGGCTGCGCTGTTAAAAATATAAGTGGAGAATAGGTAAGAAAGGATTTATTCTTG